CCCTCGTCTCCGTCCTCCGTCTACCCTTCTTCCACACATGCCGCGGCACTGCACGAGTTCTCTCCTAATTCGATCACCTCCTCCCACAGCGTCGTCACCGTGAGTCTCCGTGGCCACCTGGGGCCGGAGCCGCAGCCCCCTGCACACCAGTCGGGCTGGATTCGGAGTCCCGGGTTGCGGGCGTTTTCACTGCTCTCTCGCGCCCGGTCGGCTGATCCTGTAGAGGAGTCTGACACCCTTGGAGCCCGTCCTCCTGGTCCCCATAATCTGACCTTCTGACCTTTCTCTCGGGGCCTTTCCCTGCGCTGGGGGGGGAACCCAGACCTTTTCGTGCTGGAGCCGCTGCGCCGGGCGCTCGCTGGAGACGGGGCATCTTCTCTCCTGCCCGGGGGACTCTCCCCAGTCCTCTCACTGGGGCGCTCTTGGTCTGCCAACCTCTCACTTCAGCCCTTTGGCCTTCCGGTCACCTTTTGGTTCTAAGAAGTGCGTCTCCATTTACCCCCAAGACCTCCTCCTTCCATCTTGGCTGTTGCCTGGCGCTGGGGCGTCCGCGGGCAGCAGCTCGCCTGCGGCCTCTCCTGAGCTGTCCCTCGTGCTGCCAGACTGTGCTGTGGCCGAGGGTGGACTGGCTTCCCCCCTGAAACCCCCAGAACCTGGGAAGCCCCTCCCCCAGTGCTGCCCTGCCCTGGGCACTGTGTGGAGGGTGACCATGGTCTCCTGGTGCCTGGGGCTCATCTCCGTCCCTGTTACCAGACAGACTGACCAATTCCATCAGGGTGTATGAGCTCGCAGGTATGGGGAAGGTCAGGCAGCAGGTGTACCACCTGATGTAAAACTCGTGGGCCCCACAGAGAGAACGCACAGGATAGAAATATGCAGGTCCGGCGCACACCTGGGATCCCAGCGGCTTGGGAGGCTGAGGCAGGAGGATCATGTTCAAGCCAGCCTCAGCAACTTAGTGAGGCCCTAGGCAACTCAGCCAGACCCTGTTTCTAAATAAAATAAAAAAGAGCTGGGATGTGGCTCAGTGGTTAAGCCTCCTGGGTTCAATCCTCAGTACCCTCCCCGCAAAAAAATAAGAATCGAAGAAGAAAGAAATACACAAGGATAGAACAGTAGCTGGCAATAAGAAATGGGAAGTTAGGACGAATTAGTGGATTATATAAAAACAATCGTTGCAAAAGTCAATAGCGTCTGGGATGAATCGAATGATGTAAAAGACTGAAGGAGGAAAATAAACTTAAGGAACAGAAGGATATGAATTGGGGTACCGTGGCACATGCCTGTGGTCCCAGCTACTTGGGAGGATGAGCCGGAGGATCAGGCCCAGGAGTTCAGGACCAACCTGGGTAACATACTGAGACTCTCATCTCCCCAAAAATAAAGCATAAATTTAAATGCTTTATTTTTATATGATTTTATAAATTTAAAATGTACTTAAACCCAAAGGACAAAGTGACAAAGTGTGGACTTTGTAAATCGAGTCAGACTGGAGCCCACCCCAGCTCACGCATCAGGGTGGCATCTGTGTTTGCTTTTGGGCTTCGAGAGCAGGAAATGCAGACGGCAGCCGTCTGTGTGGTTCCTAAGGTTAAACTCTTCGCCCTCTACAGAAACTTGGCCGACCCCTGACCCACAGAGCGGTCCTGAACCGCAGCATTAGATGACAGACTTCTAATGTCCTCTGTTCTGCCTCTGCAGGGAGTTGCTATAGCAACCCCCCACCCACCCACCCCCGTGTTAGCAGCACTGGCCCCCTTGCAGTGCCCAATTCATCCCCAGCATCCCAGCACCAAGTGTGGAGTCCAGCCAGAGGGGAGCCACTGGGACACTCCGAGACAAGTCCTGGGGTACACTGGGCAGCCAGGAGCCCTCCCTCATGCCTCAGAGTGGGGGGAGAGGGCTACAGGCCAAGCTGCACCCACACCCCCTTTTCACTGAACCTGCTGCTTCACCCCCTTGGAGGAGGTTGGGGGCGGATCCCCCACCTCCCCGACTGCTCTGCAGCCACAGAAGCTCTTCCAGGTGCTCAGCACTGAAGGTCTGGTCCAGGTCCGCCCTCGACGTTCTGAATGCCCGTCCAGCGTGGAGCTTCTCCCGCCCCGGGTTGGATCAGACCCTGGTCTGGAGGCCCAGATTGGAAGGGGTCTGGCCTTCCCACCATCCTCTCATCCCTTTCTCTCAGCAGTCCCAAGGGTAAGGTGTGGGGCCAGGGGAGGGGCAGGGACAATGCACTGACCTGCTCAGAGGTTCAGGTGCCTACTGGCAGCCACACGCCCAGGTGGGGATGGATGGTTACTGGTTTTTTCATGGAAAAGTTTTTTTAGATCCTTGGAAATGCATATGCACCCAGATCCCTCTCTTGACATGGGCAATGTCTGTCCTCTAACTGGGTGCTGAAAACTCCCCCTTCAGCCTGACATCAGGGATCCCCTGCTCTGTCAGGGTCACCCCTGAGGTGGCCCCTCTCGGGCCAGGACCCTTTGAAGAAGCCCGGGGACAGCTCCCTCATCTGTCACAGGAGAAACATCCCTTTGTCCCACTATCAGCTAACATGCACCCCAGGTAATCTGTCACCTTCAGAATTCCCTTCACACTTAGAAACCAGTCCTCATGTGTCCCAAACAGTGGAATAGGCCAGGGACGTTCCCAGACACTGCCACGTAAGAGGCCCAAAGAGTAGGAAGCAGTCTAGGAAAAACAGGAGGGAGAAGGTCCCTAGGGAAAGTTTCCAAGGAAAGGTAGGCAGAGAAAATACCTGAATGGAAAGTCTGAAGCATAAAGAAGATATGATACACATGAGTACGGCAAAGAGAAAAAAAGAAAGGCAATCAGAAACTCCTGAAAACTAAAAAGCTGTACAACACGTCCACTCCACTGGGAATGATGCAGGCCACCGTAATGAACTCACTAGGGACTAGTTTTTCAGCTTTTAGAATCAAATTTACAAGCTAATTGTAGAATCTTTAATTATGGTTATAGACCAGATTATTTCTGCTGTGAACCTTGACAGTATAAAAGAGTTTATGACCAGAAATGGGGAAATGAAGGCTGAGAAAAGTAGTAGCTCACATTCATTCACCTAACAAAGTACAGAATCATGAAATAATGTCTGTATTTTATAATATAAAAATAAAGGCATTTTTTTTTAGAATTTTAATATTTATTTATTTTTTAGTTTTCGGCGGACACAACATCTTTGTTTGTATGTGGTGCTGAGGATCGAACCTGGGCCGCACGCATGCCAGGCAAGCGCGCTACCGCTTGAGCCACATCCCCAGCCCAAGGCGTATTTTTTTAAAGTCCAGGAAGCAGCAGTCCTTAAGGAGGACACTCTAGATCCTAGGATCTCAGTAACAGTAATAAAATAGAGAAACTGACTAACCCACCTTGTGAGGAATGAGGTGTGTGAATGAGCTACATTTTCATCTATGAAACAGGAAGTCAACAAGTAATGCTCAAAGCAGATGGGTTAAGAACTAGCAAGAGGCTGGGCACGGTGGTACATGCCTGTAATCCTAGTGGCTCAGGAGGCTGAAGCAAGAGGATGGTAAGTTTGAGGCCATCCTCAGCACTTACTGAGACCCTGTCTCAAAGTAAAATTTTTAAATAGGGCTGGTGATATAGTGCAGTGGAGCACCTCTGGGTTCAATCCCCAGTGCCCCCCCCATATAAAATAGCAAGAGGAAATTGCTGAATGAACCAGATATAAATGTGTTTGCCTCCAGGGAAGCAGAGGCTGGGGAGGAGGAGGAAAGCAGAGGAGTCTTTCTAGTCATTCGCTCTTCTGTATGATTTAATTTTTAAAAATTATGCTAATATTATTCTGCTAAATTATTTCTAATGTTCCAGGAGCTTCCATTGTATGGGTTGAGACTCTCAGGCACCATAGTTGCCTATAACAGTTGTCTATAACAAAATGATAGTGTCAGTCCCTAAGGTATTTTCTGGGTTTAAATCTGGCCATTTCTGAGTTGTATCCTTTGTAATAAACTGTCAACAGGTGTGTCCCTGAGTTCTGTGGGCCTGTGGAGCAAATTATGCACCAGTGGAGGGGGTCATTGGATCCCCCAATTTATAAACAGTTGGTCAGCAGCACAGGAGGCCCAGGACAGTGGTGGATGCTGTGTAAGACCAAGGCCTGAGCCCGTGGGGTGGCCATCAAGGGCAGTTTAGGTTCAGAACTGGGTTGAACTGTTGACCCCCGGCAGCTGGTGCGTGGGGATGAGAGCACTGGTTGCTGGCTTGGGAAACGCTTGCTGGTGTTACCATCCTCCCGATCAGAAAACTGGAGGGACCTATGCTCTTGGGATCTCTTTGGTCTCTGGCCCTTGCAGACTGAAGCAAAACTTGGCGTGAATCCCGACAGCCAGGCCGGAGCACCTCAAGCCCCCCTTCTCTCCTCCGTCCTGCTGCCCACCAGGCCTGTGGGCTCCCCCCCTCTTCAGACGCCATCATGGGGAATCCACTTTCTCATTAGTGTGAGAAGTCCAGTGTTCCTGGCACTGTGAGGAGTCAGCCCGCCACTGAAGGTCAAGGCAGAGCACAGAGAGGAGGTGACATCAGGCACAGCCTGGCCTCTGTATCCTTCCCCTGGTACCTCCACTCCTGCCTGCCTGTCCCCAGGAAGAGCCAGCCATCCATGGGGCACAGATATGTTCCCTTTGGCCAAACTAGTCCCAGCCGATCTCCAGCTCCCCTTAGGAATTTTTGATGAGCACATTTTCTCCACCTCACTCATTACCCGTTGTTCTCATATCATGCAGCACAGGAAAAAGCTGCCCAGAGCAGCCGGCCCAGTGTGACAAAGATGGCACAGAGGCCATCGGAAGTCTTTGTCAGCTGAGCATCTCTTGCTCTTTCCTCTGATAATAGAACCCCTCATCCTCCTCATCCTTGGTGGAGGGACTCAATCAACATGACGGAAGGCAAACTGACCACTTCTACCCAAAGGGAGGACACGTGACCCCAGGTGAGCCAATCAGGAGCCTCTCCTCCTAGCCTTGGTGATTCTTCAGGGTTGGTGGTGACTGGGGAGCCACACCAGGGTGGCAAACCTAGGATAAAAAGCCGACGGGAAAGAGTGGTTCGGTGCCACTGGGTCCCTGGAAGCCTTAAGTGATGTGGGCATAACTGAGAGGAGCCACAGAGAGGTAAGTGGGTGGGGGGAGAGGTGGGCATGAGGAAGAGAAGAGGGCGTTGAATTAGGTGACTTGGGGGCCTGAGGGCGCCTCCCTACCGGAGTCCAATGATCCAGGCAGGGACCTGACGGTACTCGTGGCCGGGCCCAATCCTCCTCAGGCAATCGCAGGCAGCCAGCTGACTCAAAAAAGGCGAAACACTGAGCTGTAACCAATCAGCTGTCTGTGGACGTGGCTTCCAGTGCCTGTCCATAGCGTTGCCTGACCATGTCGCAGCCCTGGGGGTCCCTGAACCTGCTCTGGTTCTGAAGCCGCCCAATTCTAGAATCGTGGATAGAAGCTGATCAAGATCTTCAATGTGTAGCGATTTTGTCTTTTCATAGTTCGGTGCCCAAACATATAACCCCAAAGACACAGCTGGCAACTTTGAGACCCTTGAGTGTGGGCAGCCACATTGAGTTACCCGTCTTCCAGTCCTGAGGCACCTCGGAGACCTGAAAGATGACTGCAGTCTGGCACCTCCAGACTCTTTTCTGCTCGGACAGCAAGGCCAAGTCTTCTGAGCAGGCAGACCCTGGGGTGAGCTGCACTCACCTGTCCCTTTGTGATATTACCCCTTGCCCTGTTGGGGATAGAATGTTCCATGGAAACTCCCTTTGTGTGTCCCCTTCTCTTGCTCTGCCTTTGGGTGTGGCCTTCCTAGATGTCAGTCAACCTGCTGACAGCAGACATCAAGAAGCTAGACTCAGCCCCCTGAAACCTGACCCCTGGCCTCATTTGAGTGGCTTCAGTAAAAGGGTTCAGCACTTGCTCTCTCTTTCCACAGATCCCTAAGGTCAGAGGAGCCATCACAGGACCCAAAGAAAAAGGTATCTCTGTCTCTTGTGTGGTTATTTCATGCAGCCCAGTTCCTCTGGAGTGACTCTGAGTGTTTTAGTTGTGAGAAACATGACACTTGAGGAACTGGGAAGGGTGCCACCAACCCTTTGGGAACCCAAAGAGACAGCCATAAGCATGTCTCAGGTCGGACTCTGCCTTTTCCACAATGAGTCCCCATTGAATCCAGAGTTAGTTTGTGTCATGAGAGAGCATGTGACCATTTGGGATTTGCCTTCTGATGGGTCATTGGCAAGAGTGGAAGTCATGACAGAAACAGGACAGGGTCCTGCAGAAAGGCCTCAGGTGTGTGGCTGGGTGGGCAGAGCAGGACCATTGGCTAAGTTGGTCGAGGGGATCTCCGAGCCAGGGACAGGTGTGGTGGCACACGCCTGTAATTACAGCTACTCAGGAGGCTGAGTCAGGAGAATCAAAATTTCAAGGCCAGTCTGGGCAACTTGGCAAGATCCTGCCTACAAATAAAGTAAAGGGCTGGGGTGTAGCTCAGTGGGAGAGCACTTGCCTAGAACGCATGAGGTCCTAGGCTGATCCCCAATGCCAAAATTTAAACATATATTAAAAAAGGTAGGCTCCAAAATTCTGCTCACCCAGGGATGCCTATTGATGAGCAGAAGCTTCTAGAAACATTTCAAAAAAGATTGTTTTTGTCTTTTTAAAAAGACTTTACAAAAGGCAAATGGAAAGCTTATATAACTAATGGGTTAGAGAAAATAGTTTACATTGATTGACAGCTCTCACCTCACATTCTGTCTTCCCCCTGCCCTCCTCTGCTTGAACTGAAGTTACTAGGTGTTTTCTTGCTCTCCCACTTCAAAGGTGGAAAAAATTGTTTAGGGCTAAAGTACAGCTCAGAGTACAGCCTGGCATTACCAGACCCCAGGTTCCATCCCCAGTACAGCCAAAGAAACAAACAAACAAAAATTTACATTTACAAGGGAGGAAGATGTGTGTCCTGTGGCATCAAGACCTTAGATTAAATCAACAGGATCTGTTTCTTTAACCACCTCTGTGCCTTGGTCAAAATCACAAGTTCAGAACAATAATCAAAAGACAAGCCCATATAACCAGCTGCACCATTGGCTTTTTTTTTTTTTTTTTTAATCCTTGAGCATGCATTCCACCACTGAGCCACATCTCCAGACCATTTTATTTATTTATTTAGAGACAGGATATTGTTCAGTTGTCAGATGGTGTTGAACTTGTGATCCTCCGGCCTAGGCCCTGAGTGGTGACCCTACAGGTGACTGCCACACGCCTGTCTGGCATTTTGACTTCCCTCGAGGATTTCTGTCTCCATCTTTGTCTTGGTAAGTGGTGGTATTTAGGTCTGAAATCTGATTACAATGAGCAGCTGTTGCTGGAGGTGGGCGGAGGCTCCTGGTCGCTGTGTGCAGAGGCAGGGCAAGGCAGGGCACGGCAGGGCACGGAAGGGCAGGGCACGGCAGGGCAGGGCACGGCAGGGCAGGGCACGGCAGGGCAGGGCGGGGCAGGGCAGGGCGGGGCGGGGCGGTCGGGCAGGCTCATCCCCGGGAGCGCAGGCAGGAGGACGCAGATCCAGCCCCGGGAGAGGGCGCGGGAGGCTGCACAGCACCCTCACGCCAGGCTCTGGGTGCCCTTGGGCTGGGGTGGAGCCGGAGGCCTGAACCTCGTGGCGGCGGGTTGGCGGGGGTCAGACGCCTGTGCTATGGGCACCTGGGGCAGGGGCCTGCGAGCTCCAGTCACTTTGCCTTTTCCGGCCTAGCGCCACCCACGGGTCATGTGACAGCCCCGACCCTTGGAGCTTTGCGGCTGCCTGGGTGGCCTTGGGAACGCGGCTGGTGCCCCCAAATCTACGGAGGAGCGCGGTGGCCCCGTGGTGGACTGTGGGGACCGGTGGTGCCCATCGGTGGCTCTGAGTCTTTGGCCCGCCTTCCCAGCAGGGGTTCCTTCCACAGTCGACCGCACGGGGGTGGGGATGAGTGTCCTGTGGCGTCACATGATGAGTCCCCTGGGTCATTTGCAGCTCAGGGTCCTTTACCGCCGCCCGTCCCCGCCCCACCCCTGCCATCTCCAGCGACTCCCGCCGGCAGCGCCACCTGGCGGACAGTCGTCAGGGCACTGGTGGGGCAGGTCGGGCAAGTGACCTTGCTGGAATGGGCTCGTGGTCAAGGGTGAAGAAACATCCTCAAGAGGAAAAGGCTTTGGGGAAAGGTGAGCTCCTTCTGAGGATCGGGGCTTGGGGCATTTGGAGGGGGCTCAGAGTACTACTTCTCCAAAAATAGGCCCCCAGTGTGTGTGTTTCAGGTGGTGCTTCGTGAATTCCTTCAGTGGCGAACCTACTCGATGAGAAATTCACGTGTAATAGCTAAGAACAGGTAAATTAGGCAAAGCTTCCTAAGTGATCCCGTCATCCTTTCAAAAGAATTTTTTTTTTTTTTTTGTAATTTGAAATCAGTATATGGTCATTAAAACTAGAAATAACAAGGGGGTCGATTCTGCACGTGGACAAAGTAAGGGTTGTTTTGATAAGTGACACTAACGTGGAAGATGTGTTTTTGATAAGGGGAAAAGAGAGAGATTTTGGTCCCAAAGCAGAATGATGGCTTGTTCCAAGAGGAGAGGCTGGAGTGCACGGGACACCCCCACCAAGGGGTGAGACAAGGTAGTGGGAGGTTTACAGGAGGGGGACCTCCTGAGGAATGTCACCTGTCATCAATCCAGATGTAGTTAGAATCACAAGTTTTTCTATATTGAAAGTGTACTTATGCAAAACTAGAATTTGGTCCCTTTTGCTAAAGCAAAAATGTCCTCTTGGAGGTCAATCTACTCTTGGTAGGAAATTGGCCTAGGGACTAAACAATCATCCCCTGCGTCCCTGTCACCATTATTGGGTTTTGATCACTTAAGAAGACTGAGGCCTCTGTTGGGAAGCTAAGATTTTTCCTAAAACTATATAACTTTCTGTATTTATCTTTTTTTTATTTTTTAGATGTTGGTGGACCTTTATTTTATCCATTTATTTATATGTGGTGCTGAGAATTGAACCCAGGACCTCACACATGCTAGGCAAGGGCTCTACCACTGAGCCACAACCCCAGCCTGTATTTATCTTTTAAGTGTTTAATTATCATTCTGGTTAAATGAATGACTATTATTTCAAGGTGACCTGTGATCCTATTTTGATCAGTTAGTTAATTCAAATATTTTTGGATTAGAATTAACTGTGGAGTTTTCCAGTTGAGTCACTGGAAAGTATTGAAAAATGTGTCTCTCACCTTGTGAAAGAAAGGTATGGGGGGGACTGTAGTTGTGGCTCAGTGGTAGGGCACTCATCTAGCACGTGTGAGGTCCTGGGTTTGATTCTCAGCACCACATGAAAATAAATAAATAAAATAAAGGTATTGTGTCCAACTACTTCTAAGAAATAAATATTAAGAAAGAAAAAGAGGGCTGGGATTGTAGCTCAATGGTAGAGTGCTTGCCTTGCACGTGGAAGGCACTGGGTTTGATCCTCAGCACCACATAAAAATAGGTATTGTGTCCATCTGCAATTAAAAATATTTTTTAAAAAAGAAAGGTATCAAGCTTATTAGAGCCGGGCATGGTGGCTCACACCTGTAATATACTGGCTTGGGTAGATGAGAAAGGAGAATCACGAGTTCAAAGCCAGCCTCAGCAAAAGCGAGGTGCTGAGCAACTCAATGAGGCCCTGTCTCCAAATAAAATGCAAAATAAGGCTGGGGATGTGGCTCAGTGGTCAAGTGCCCCTGAATTCAATTCCCAATACCAAAAAACAAGAAAAAAAAAAAGCTTATTAGGCTTATTTGATAAATTACATGAGAAACCCTGTCAAAGAATAATGCTGGACTTTCTTCAAGTAGTATTTGTGTGAGTTTTATTGATGTGTGTTTCAGAAATGGCATGCAACTCCTAATAGCCCTGATATAGCCATTCTGTTGGAAGGTTGCATGCAATAGAGACCACCAAGTCCTCTTGTCAGTTGTGGCATTATTGTAATGAGTGAACTCTCACCCAATCTTTACCCATGGCCAAGTTATGTTTTGTCATTCAGCCTGGCACAGAGGTGCACATCTGTCATCCCAACAAATTGAGAGGCTGGGGTAGGAGCCCAGCCTCTAGGACTCAGTGAGACCTGTCTCAAAACAAAAAACAAAAGGCCTGGAGATGTGGCTCAGTGGTAGAGAACGCCTGGGTTCTATCCTGCAGAAGCAAAAAAAAAAAAAAGCAAAACAGGGGGCTGGTTTGTGGTTCAGTGGTAGAGGGCTTACCTAGCATGTGTGAAGCACTGGGTTCGATTCTCAGCACCACATATAAATAAATAAAGGTCCATTGATAACTGACAAATATCAAAAAAAAAAAAAAAGAAAGAAAAGAAAGAAAAAGCAAAATAAACTGTTAACATGCAATTTGAGCTGGGGCTGTGGCTCAGCGGTAGCGCACTTGCTTGGCATGTGTGAGGCCCTGGGTTTGATTCTCAGCACTGCCTATAAATAAATAAAATAAAGATCTATCAACAACTAAAAAAATATTTTTAAAATATGCGGTTTGAATTGGCTCCATACGATTGATCCAAGTCAAATTGCCTCTGATAACCGATTTAATAAGCCATGCTATGCACCCAAGTTGGAGAAACAAAACAGTTTTGGGAAGGGATGTAAACCCAGTTTTAAGCACGGATTCACGGAGGGCCGGATGTGCCTGGTCTTTCCTGACTCCTTGAAGCTTCCTGTATTACAAGTTCCCCACCCATCGGCTGACGGTGGAGTAGACGGCACAACACAACCTGTAGGAAGACAGTGGGGTGGTGACTAAAATAAAACCACTAAAATCACTGATAACCAGGGTCATCATCCTGGGAAGATGATGAGGTCTCCGGTGGCACGTGTCTGCTACCTGAAGGGCCATCTGTACCCATAGGGGGCTTCACTCACCTGCCACCTCCAGGGGGATGTGAAGACGCTCTCGTGACCTCCTTCTGTGTGGCCTGCGTGTCCTGGAAAGCTGTGCGTGCGAGGAGGGCCAAGATGCAGCTGCAGAACCTCACATAGCTCTGGTCCTAAACCCAGACCCGGCTCAGGGGCGAGGCTCTAATGCACTGAGCCGACATGCATTTTCACCAAGCACAGGCGTCTTCTCAGGATCCACCAACCGAGGATAATCCAACCCTAGAGAGTCTAGGAGAACGGCACAGAAAGACTGTCCTGGCCCCCGGGGGAAGGCACGCCAGTTCTCCCACCCACATGCAGCTAAATGCCAACGCCTTGAATTTGGTTCCCATCTCACTCCCCAAAGGGCCCTTCTAGACTCTAGACCTGCACCCCTGCCAGAGATCGTCAGGTACGGCTGACAGGGAATGTCCCCCCAGAAGCAGACAACACCCAGACGGGGACAGCTTCCCCAAGGTGGTGGCTGCTGACTCCCCTGCCATCCCCAAAGCCTTGCCCTCGTTCCCCCCACCCCCACTGCCTGCTCTCTAACCCTTTTCTCATCCCTACAGGAAAACCCAGGAGAGTTTGTGGATGCCCAGAGTGACTTCCCCAGGGCTTTCAAATCTTTGCAGTCAGTCCCCAGGTGTTCCCAGCTAGCCACAGAAGTGAGTGGCTCTTTGAAGCAGCCTGCTGAGTGGTGGCCTTGGTCTTTAATTACTACTGTGTTTGGAACAAAGTCTGTGGCCAGCAGACATCGGGGAGCGTCTGTGTCACCTGAACTTTGATGCATTTGATTTTGATGAGTCGGTGGATAAGGACTCCTATCAAGCAGTGACTCAGCCTCCTGCACGGATCTCCTGAGGGGAATTGGAAACAATGGCTCCTCCGGCCCCTTGGGTCTTCTCATCTTCTCCAAGTCTTTGATGCCTGGTTGCATGCAGCTGCTTGGTGACAAAAATGCATCACTGGCTGAACCGATGCAAAACTCCAAGAAACATGAGGACACTGAGTACACGAATGGCACATTGAAGCCCCAAATCCAACATGATGGTGACTGACAGTTGTGCCTTGAGTTGTGGTCACCGCGTGAGGTTCTGACCACAAGGGGGCGTTGGTAAGTTCAGCCCTGCGGATGCCTCCGTGGTGAGTCCCCACCTAACGTGGTGGCTGAGTCCCCCTCAGTCCCAGCAGCTGACCAGCAGCCCCTGGCAGGTGGCCAGCGGACTCAAACGCGGCAAAACAAGGCAACCAACCGAACGGTCCCCGGCATCCCTTCCATTTTCTTTCCACCGGTGTCTGGGCGGCTGCAGCCCCCGGGGCCTTTGACAGGGGAGAAAGAGGATGCGTTGGACGGCGCCCCGGAGCCCTGCCCTGGGCCGTGTCGCGGGGTGCGATCGGAGCGGCCAGGCAGGGCTCTGGGTTTTGTTTGTTGGGGAGCCTCCGCAAGCCCTGCCCCGGCGCTGCACCCCCTGCCCCCTCCGTGCCGTGGACCCTGCAGCCTGGCCCTAGTCACCGTCAGCAGGAGCTTCCCGGGGCCAGCACTAAGGCATCCTCGGATAACCAGCTCCAGGGAGCAGCCAGCCCCCTGCCCCCGGATTCTAAGTGGGTTAGATGAAGTACTCGGGAGAGAGAAAAAAGAATCCTTGATGACATGGGCAGCTCTCGGTCAGAGCGTTTCTGTGGCGCATCATCACTAGAGGTCATTGTCAACTGCAAGTCAGAGGTTCCGAGCCACTCTGCCACTGCAGGGGGTCCCACCTAGAACGGCCTCCTGGGAGGGCTTGCTCAGAGACCACCCTTGCCTCCCACAGGAGGCGAGGCCACACAGAGACAGAGAGCAGGAAGGAGCCGGAACCCGAACCCTAACACCACGGAGTCAGGATGACACGGTGCTGGGTGGGAAAAACCTCCTGGCTGTTTCCGCAGCTGTTATTTGGGGACTTTGTAACCTCGGTTGAACCTCTCTGATTAATATACAACCTGGGGTGAGAACAAGAACTACAGAGAAGCAGGAAATGGGGAGGATTTTTTTTCAGTTTGGAAAGTGAAACATTTCTGTTGACGTTCTTCATTTTTTTTTTTTTTAATGACAAAGCAGCTTCTACACAGCAAACTGAAGTTCATTGGAGGGAATATTTAAGAACTCTGAGGGAAATGCAATGTCTAGCCAAGGATCCCATAGCCTAGCTCTGCACGATAGAACAATTTGCGGTCGTGAGGTCATTCACAGGCTGCTATTATAGTCTTGAAGAATAAGGAGAAAGGTGTGGTGGTGCACACCTGTAATCTCAGCAGCTTGGGAGGCTGAGGCAGAAGGATCCAGAATTCAAGGCCAGCCTTGCAACCTAGTGAGGCCCTAAGCAACTCAGCAAGACCCTGTGTCTAAATAAAATATATTTTTTAAAAAGGGCTGGGAATGTGGCTCAGTGGTTAAATTCTCTGTGTTCAATCCCTGGAAGGAAGAAGTAGGAAGAGGAGGAGGAGAAGGGAGAAGGAGAAGGGCTCAACATCTTGGGAAATGCAAGTTTAAGCCAAAATGAGGGCTGAGGGTGCAGCTCGGGGCGGCAGAGTGCTTGGTGATAGGTCTCCAGCCTGGCTACCTGGCAGACTTTGGACTTGCCTGGACCTCCCAAGCCTCCACAGTCATGTAAGCCAATTCCTTGAGATCTCTCCACCCCCTCTCTTTCCCTCTCCCCCTTCCTCCCTCCCTCTCCCACACACTATGGGTTCTGATTCTTTGGAGAATCCTCACTAATACAAAACTCAAGGAAGAGTGCATAGGTCCATCAAAGGGCTCCTACAAGGATGTTCGTCGTGACTTGATCCATAACAGCCCCAGACCAGGGACAACCCGCATGTCAAGCCGTGAGAGAGAGAAAGGAGAGGTGGACTGTGGTCTGAACCCCCTCACCCAGCAAGAGGAGTCCCCCAGACATCCCACTAAGCAAAAGAAGCTGCCTCAGGATGCACATGTAAGTGGAATTTTAAAGGCACCAACTAGTTTTGTGGAGTTGGAGGTCAGCACAGTGCCTGGGAGGGTACGAGCTAAGGGGCAGGATGAGGGAAACTTCTGGAATGCTGGAGTGGTCACATGGGTGTGTGCCTGAACAATAGCTCCCCACACGTCCTCTCCGGAGCACCACACGCTACACTTTGGAGTCTGCTGTACGCCCAGAAGCAGGCTCTTCATTACGCGGACCGAGTCATCTTTCCGTAACTGGTTTCCGGCTCTCTTGCACTGTGTGCAGAAAACCTGCTTTGATTTCAATCCACTGAAGCATTTTGAAGTCAGGCCCCACAGAGGATCCACTCTGTGTGTCCTCATGTGCTGGGAATGAAGGTGTATTCTGCAGGCCTTCAGATCTTCAGAGTTCCTCTGACAGTTTTTCCTGCTATTCTGTCAACTATTGGAGGGTCAAAATACTCCCCCCCCCCAACAATCTGGAAGGAAATATAAAGGACACAAAATTGGCAAATACAAGTGTGTATGTGCAGGCACACGCACACACACACTCTTAGAATGATCGACACTGTGTGTCTCACGACCGTGATTTGCTTTAAGTAGCTCAAGGCCATGTTATTAGATGCACACAAATTCATAATTTTTACAACTTCCTGATAAATACTGAATGTTTTTTCCCATTCACAAATTTCCGTCTGTATTTTTATTTCAATTGATTCATTTATTTTGTGGTGCTGGGAATTGAACCCAGGGTCTTGCACATACTAAGCAAGCACTCTACCTCAGAGCTGCCCCCAGCCTATCCCTGTCTTGGAAGCTTCTCTATTTGTTATTTATTTTCTTCTTCCAAGTGCCGTTGGCCTGGCAAGGATAGAGATGCCCTAGATTTCCCTCGGTTGATGCCTGTGTGGGGCACCTTCTTCTACTACCCTTCTAGAGTGTTCCTTGTTAACAGACTAGGGTTTGATTTTCTTTTGTTTTTCATTTTTTACAGTCTCCGTCTTTTAATGAGAGTGTTTGAATCTATTTAAACATTTCATTTTGAGATGAGATAGCATCTTACGATGTCACAGCCAGGACATTGATGTTGACATGACCTATGGATCTTGCTTGGGTTTCCGCAGTTTGGGTTGGCCTGGTGTCTGAGTTCTATGCAATTGCATCCTCCCCTGGGTGGTTCCTAGATCCACAGCACAGTCTGCATACAGCAGCTTCATACAAGGCCCATAGACACCTTTTAATAACCACTCCTGCTCCCCCTGACTCCTGTCCTTAATCTCAGGCAACCACTAACCTGTTCTCCATCGCCATAATTTTTTCATTTCCAGGATGTTACATAAATGGAATCAAACAGTATGTAACCTGTGGGGATTAGCTTTTTCTCCCACTCAGTAGGATTCTGCAGACATTCGCCCAGCCTGTCACCAGTATCCACAGCTCGTCCCTTTTCATGGCTGAGTAGCTGTCCACGCCATTAACAGCAGCCGTTGAGGGACATCTGGGTTACTTCTACTTTGGGGCTATTATGAGTAAAACTGCTAGAAATTGCACACGAATGACGTGCAAAATTTGTTAAGCGTTCTAGGTTGTTCTTTCTTTTTTTTACAGTGCTGGGAAATGTGAATCAAGTCCTCTGCCATTGAGCTACACCCCCAGCCCCCAGAATTTGGTTTTTTTTTGTTGTTGTTGTTGTTTCTTTTTAGTTATACACACCATTAGGATTCATTTGACATGATTTTAAAAACATGGAATATAATTTGCTCAAAATCAGTCCTGAGTATTCCCCTTCTCTCCCCCAGCCCCCCAAATTAAAAAAAAAAATTGCTATCAACATTCATGTGCAAGTTTTTCATGTGTGAACCTAAGTTTCCATTTCTTTGGAATAAATTATCCAGGAGTGCAAAATTTGCTGGGTAGAATGGTGATCTGCCTAACCGTCTTCCAGAGCAAAGGTACCGATTTACATTCCCACCAGCAACAGAAGAGCAATCAGCTTCCAGGAACTCTCGCCAGTGTCCGCAGTGGTGATTTTTCTAGCAGCTCTGATAGGTGTTGGGAGGTCTCCTGGTGGTTTTAATTTGCATTTCCTGCCCGGCTGAGGTTGAACACCTCTTCCTGTGTGTCATCGTTGGAGAAATATGTAGAGATAGAAATGTCTGAGGGCTCAGTACTGTGGGGTCTCAAGAGGGGTCTCCCCTCACCCACAGGGGTTGCCTAAAAGCTCAGAGTGCCAAATCCTCTGTCTCTGTGTTTTTTCCTATAGATAAAGTCTAATTTACAAATTAGGCACAGTAAGACATTAACAGCCGTAACTAATATTAGAACCATATGACAATATACTGTCATCAAAGTTACTTTAAAATTTATGAATTGTATTTCTGGAATTTTCCATTTCATATTTTTAGATCACAAATAACTGAAACCAGGAACAGCGACACGGTTGGAGGCGGGGACTCTTCTGGAGGCCGGGCCTTCACTGGACACAAATATTTCTCCCACTCCCAACTCGTCTTCTCATTCTCTTAACAGGGTGTTTTCCAGAGCAAACTTTTTCGGTTTTTGTAAGGTGCAGTTTATTCGTTTTTCCTTTTATGGGTCACACTTCAGTATCAAGTCAAAGAAATATTTGCCTGGCTCCAGATCCTGAGGGTTTTCTCCCATCTCTTCTCTTAAAGTTATATAATCCCACACTTCCCGTTAATGTTCGCGTAAGACGTGAGGTTTAGAAGACATTTCTCTGTCGGCCTGTGGAAGCCTTTTTGCTGCCAGACCTTGTGTGGCAAGGGCTCTCCTTCCTCCACTGAATTGTTTTGGCATCTCTGTGAGTGATCAGTAGAAGGAAATTCTTCTATTTATTTTTTTTGGTACCTGGGATTGAACCCAGGGGTGCTTAACCACTGAGCCACATCCCCAGCCCGTCTTATTTTATTGTTTTAAAATATTTATTTTCGTTGTAAAGGAACACGATGCCTTATTTTACTTATTTATTTTGTTAGGTGGGTGCTAAAGATCCAACCCAGTGCCTCACACGTGCTAGGCAAGCGCTCTACCACTGAGCCACAACCCAGCCCCCCATTTTATTTTTTATTTTGAGACGGGATCTCACTTGGTTGTGCACAGTCTCACTAAGTTGCTGAGGATGGGTTTCGAATCTGGGATCGTCCCGCCTCAGCCTCCCGAGCGTCTGGGATTACAGGAGTACACACTATACCTGGCCATGGAAGGAAATTCTGACTTGTGCTGCAACCTGGGTGAAACTTGAGGACACCTTGCTAAGTGATATAAGCCTCACAAAACGGCAAATGCTGCTTGTGGCCACGCCTGTAATCCCAGTGGTTTAGGAGGCTGAGGCAGGAGGATCGCAAGTTCAAGGTCAGCCTCAGCAATGTAGCAAAACCCTACCTCAAAATAAAAAATAAAAAGGGCAGGGGATGTGGCTCAGTGGTTCAGTACCCCTGGATTCAATCCCCAGTGTTGCCAAAAAAAAAAAAGATGGAAATTTTTATGTTATGTATATTTTTCCGCAATAAAAAAAAAAATGGGGTGGGGGGAGCTGGAGTTGTGGCTCAGTGGTAGAGCACTTGCCAGGCATGTGCGAGGCCCTGGGTTTGATCCTCAGCACTGCATATAGATATATTAAAGATCCATCAACAATTAAAAATGAATAGAAATGGGGAAAAGTTAGTGGAGCATATTCGCGTGGCCGTCTGTTGATACTTCAGTGGCTGATGTGGTTCCTGTCTGCCGTCTGTCTTGGTCTGTCTGGCCCGCCGGTTCTGTTCTCTTCACTGCGAGCTTTTGCAGGGTGGAGAGCGTCATCCTGATTCTTCACTCCCTGTCTCCATCCCAGTTTTAGAGTTACCCCCAGAACTGTCCCCACCAACTCCTCGTTTGTGTCTGCGGTGCTGGGGGGAGCCCAGGGCCCACACCACCACTGAGCTGCACCCCACTGACTCCCTCCCGCCATCCCCTACCTGTGGTCACTGGCCTTCTTCCTGAAGAACACCCATGGCCCATGGAAAGGACCACAGATTCTTCCCGCTTCTGATTTCCTTGCTTTTCCACCAGGAGAGAAGGTATTTGTCCCCCTCCTGAGGCTGGCTGGCTTTGTGTGCTTGCTTCGGCCATGGGATGGTACCAAAGGGGAAAGCTCTGGAGGCCTGAGGCCAGCACATGGTCAGGCTCCGGCTGGCCTCCAGGCCAGTGAGGACCAGGGGCAGAGCTCCCAGGCCTCCAGCTGAGGCCCCTGCCTGGCCCAGAAGAGACGCTCAGCCAAGCCACAGAACTAGTGTTATGGGGAGCCACTCCAGAAAGCACTCAAGTCCGGATTTCAAATCAAAAGAGGGCTTTATTTACCTGGCCAGGGGCGGACACCCACCGCAGAGACTCAAGCTCTGTGGGAAGGCAGCAGCTTCCTGGTCCATCTAAGGGGAATCTAAGCACAAAAACCACAACTCAGTGACCTGCTTATCGTCACAGAAGCTAGCCAATCCCAGAAATTAAAACACTGATAAGTGGGACCTGTGGGCTCTGGGCAGGACTGGACTTTTCCAGGCAGCAAGCAAGCGGTAAACAGAAGCTAAAAACGCATTAGCTTTGCAGTTCAATGGACCACAGTCCCGGGCTCGAGCAGGTGCTAGACAGTCGCATCCTGAATTTGGGCGGGGGTCCGAGGGGCGAGAATCTTCTTAGCCCCACGAGGGCATTCAAACCCAGGACGTAGCTCACCGAGACCACTGCTGCATCCTGAGTAGGGTTCAATTTGTGGGGTACAAAGTACAGAAAAGCAATCTTCTATAAGAAAACGGCTTTAGTTTCTATTTCCTAGAAATGGGGCACGCAGTTCTCCCTTCACAGGGACAGTAAAAAAGAAACTAAGATGGAGTTTTTATAGTCACATCTTTTTACTCAAATGACTACAGTGGCCCTATTCCTGTAATCCCAGCGAGGTGGGAGTTCTCGCAAGTGACTAATGAGTCTCCACCAGAGCAACTGCTTTGCACACTCAATACTAGTAACTTATTTGATGCCTGCTTAAAACTACAGTTATCTTACGGTCTTCACACACGTTCATCTGTCATTTTACTAATACCTGTAAACCCTATGTCCTTATCCTATGCAAAGCTACAAGATCAAGTTGTTAGTCTAACCTTATCTATATCTATATTAACCTACTTGCTTATGTTTATTTATAACTATATCGACACACTGGCTTATCCTATGGCTTAAATCCTATGTCATCTTACCTTATTTCTATAGTCTTTAATCTAGGTCTATTTCTTATTGATTATCTATTCTATCTTGCCTTATACATATAACCTATGTCTATGACTTTTTGATTATATTGATCATGCACACCATAACACTTCAAGCCAGTAAAGGTTGAAGAGGGCCAGGTGCAGGGTCGCTCACCTGTAATCCCAGTGGCTCAGGAGGCTGAGGCAGGAGGATCACAAGATTAAAGCCAGCCTCAGCAATTTAGCAAGGCCCTAAGCAACTCCGTGAGAGCCTGTCTCTAAGTAAAATACAAAAAAGGGCTGGGGATGTGGCTCAGTAGTTAAGCTCCCCTGGGTTCCATATCTGTTGCACAAACAAAACAAAATGAACAACAATAACAAAAAAGACTGAAGTGGTTTGTTATATAGAAATAACAAATGGGTTGTGTCAATTTTTGGCTTTCCCAAACCCAGTGACACCAGAAAGCAGAGAGTCCCCCTGTCCTTTTGGATATGTTCCACACCTGGCCTTGGTCACGGTCCACAGGTAAACCTAGACCCAGGTGCTCATATCTAAAGATTTATTGAGCTGTACACTCAGGTAAGTGAGCCCACTCCATGTAAATTATGGCCAATTGGGGCTGGGGCTGGGGCTCAGTGGTAGAGCACTCTCCTAGCAAGTATGAGGCACTGGGTTCCATCCTCAGCACCACATAAAAATAAATAAATAAAATAAAGGTATTGTGTCCAACTACAACTAAAAAAAAAAATTATGGCCCAATTAAAAAGTGGAAAAAGAAAAAACAATCAGCCCCTTCTCTTAAAAGGTCTGTGCTGGTGTGATAAGGAAGCATACATGTAAATAAGGCTCTGATTCAGAGAACACGCTTTGCAAAGCGGGAGGCCTAAACACGCTTGGCTGCGCAGAGGCAGGCGCAGGGACCCTGGGGGGGCAGCTGCCACCACACCTGGGTGAGGGCAGCGCAGGGCCACCCACAGCGTCTCTCCCTCGAGGCCCAAGCCAGGCAGCTGGGTCGGCTCTCACAGGACACAGGCAGGACTTCTAGGCCCAGGGGCACCGGGCTAGGCCTAGAACCTGCAGGGGAGGCAGGGGAGGCTGGCAGCGTGGGGAGAGAGGAGGACAGCGATCCGGGGCAGGAGCACGAGAGGTGGTGGAGGCTAACCTAGGGGAAGATGGCGGCAGACTCAGATGCAAGACTGAGTGCAACATGAGTTGCACCTTTTACACAAAAGGGGAACTTACCAGAGCTTTGAGGGGTGGCTAATTTGGGGTGTCGACTTGAGCAGGCCAAGGGGCGCCCAGTAGCTCTCTCGGGATGTTTGTGAAGGGGCTTCCAGAAGGGCTCGGCATTTGCACTGGTGAACTGAGCCACAGCTGGCCCTCCCTGTGTGGGTGGTGTGTCTGACTGCGTCCCTCGGGGCTTCGGCTTCGTGGGCCGGGAGATGGTGTGGAGACTTATTTAAGAGACCGGGCTGGTGGGGGCGGTGAGCTCAGGGCGGCGTGGAGGGTGCTGCTCAGGAAGGAACTGATGCAGTTTCAGGGGCCGCTGGTTGGTTCTTGCAAGAGCTTGTTGTGAAAGAGTGAGCCTGGCCTCTCCTCCTCTCTGACTTCCTATCTGGGCACATGAGCTCCTCCTCTCCCATGTGCTCCCACCATTGTGATGCCATCTGCCATGATGGGATGGGGGGGCTCCCAAAGTCAGCAACAACTATTTGGACTCTCGGACTCCAAAACTGTGAGCTAAATGAACCTCTTATCTTCATATATCAGCCAGCTCCAGGTATTTTGTTGTAGCAACAGAAAACAGACTAATGTAAGGGGCATCATCCATTTTTCATGAAGTCCCTGAATAGAGCAAAAAGGGAGAGGAAGTCAAATTCCCTTTCTGCTTGGCTGCTGGAGCTGGGATATCAGTCTTCTCCCGCCCTCAAACTGGGACTTACCCCATCAGCATGCCTTGTCCTCAGGCCTTGAGACCCACCTGGTGCGACTACCTCACTGGCTCTCAGACCTCTGAGCTGCGCCAGCTTCCTGGTGGTGTATGACTGTGGATTCCATTTCCCTGGAGAACCCCAATAGACTACTTAAGCACAAGAATCACACACTAAGGACTATGTCTGGGAAAATAGATTTTCAACCTGTTCGATGTGATGAGAATAATCAATTTGGTTCTCATTATTGAGTAACGTTGATTTTCAAGACTAAGAAAAAAATGTGGTCTGAAATAACTTCCCTTGGAGGGGAAGTCACAACTTTGCAATTCTTTGTTTCAACCAGACTCAAGTGCTTGATGGATGACTTGGCTGAAGATCTCGAATGCCAAGTCCTTTCCCAGGGGTCAATCCAGGGTTTTGCTGTTTTGTTTCCTTTCTTGCCATGAGGTGAGATGAATGTATTAAAAGAAGCAAATTGTGCTCCACTGCTTATTTGTACAAAATACATGGCAACAGCTATTTTCTCAAGATGCTGAGATAGCAACGAAGCTAATGGTTGTGATGTCTTCCAGACTGGGTTTATTTAGTTATTTCGTTAGTTATAGATGGGCACGATATCTTTATTTAATTAATTAATTTATTTATATATGGTGCTGAGGATCAAACCCAGTGCCTCACGCACGCAAGGTAAGCGCTCAACCACTGAGCTACAAGCCCAGCCCCAGACTGGGTTTTTACTGAATTTGATTTTAGCCAGTTATTAGAGCATTATTACTTTGTGCCAGGCACTGTGCTACATGTTTTAGGTGCATTGTCTCATTTAGACATCTAGCTCAAGATCCCATGGCCTCAGGAAGGATGTCGGGGAAAGGCACACTCATACGTTGCTGGTGGGACTGCAAATCAGTGCAAATCACTCTGGAAAGCAGTATGGAGATTCCTCAGAAAACTTGGAATGGAACCACCATTTGACTCACTCATCCCACTCCTCAGCATATACCCAAAGGACTTAAAATCAGCATATGATAGTAACACAGACAATGTTTATAGCAGCTCAACTCACAATGAGTTGAAACCAACCCAGATGCCCTACAACAGATGAATGGATAAAGAAAATGTGATACACACACACACACATACACACAACGGAATATTACTCAGCCATTAAGAACCAAATTGGGTTGCGATTGTGGCTCAGCAGTAGAGCTCTTGCCTAGCACGTGCGAGGCCCTGGGTTCGATCCTAAGCACCACATAAAAATAAATAAATAAAGGTATTATGTCCAACTGCAATTAAAAAAATATTTTAAAAAAAGAAGAATGAAATTATGGCATTTGCTGATAAATGGACAGAATCAGAGATTATCGTGCTAAGTGAAATAAGCCAATCCCAAAAACCAAAGGTGAATGTTCTCTCTGATACGCGGATGCTGACTCACAATAGGCGGGACCGAGATGGGAGATATAAGTTCATTGGATTAGACTAAAGGGAATGAAGGGAAGGGAGAGGGGATGGGAATAGGCAAGACAGTGGAATGCACTGGGCATGACTTCTCCATGTTCATACGTGATTATACGACCAGTGAAACTCCATGTCATGTTACAATCACAAGAAGGGGCAGTCATACTCCATGTATGTAGGATATGGCAAAATATACTCTACTGTCATGTATAACTAAAAAGAACGAATTTTTAAAAAGACCCCAGGGCCAAGCTGAGACCTGGAGTCAAGCTTGGCATCCACTCTCCACACTACCATCTTAACATGAGTGAACTTCAATGGAAAACTATTGGGATTTTCAGCGTTGCTCCTCTGGCCACACTGGGTTGACAATTGGGACTCTAGGGAACATCAAAGAAAGACTCCTGAGTGGAGGATATGCCTTCACCCCAGGCTAGCAAGCTCTGCCCAGGACAACAGAGAGGACTGCAGAACTCAACCCTGGAAACCAGACCCCGAAAAAGCTCAGGTCGCTAAATCTCAGCCCAGCAAACCTCTCACCTTCTGTCCCAGACTGGAGCTTGACAGTAATGACTGGTTGTGACTCCACAAGGACGCTCCTTGACTTCCCACAGGGTTGTATCCCAACAAACCCATCATAGGTTGAAAATGCATTTATCCCACCCAATCTCCAAACATCCCAGCACAGCCTGCCTCAAATGTGCTCATAACACTTCACGTTAGCTGACCGTTGGGCAAAACCATCTAACAGGAGCCTAGTTCATAATGAAGTGTTGAACAGCTCGTGTAATTTATTAAATATTGTCCTGAAAGCGAAAGACAGAACAGACATGCAGGTATGCTTTCCCATCCTTACAAAGTTGCAAACTTGTAGGTCTAATTGTTAGGTTGGTGCTATCTGCATCATCGGTGGCTGCATAGCCAATTACAAAACCAAGCATCTTGAAACAATGAGGATTTATCATCTCTATTTCCGAGTCAGAATTTGCAGAGTGGTTTAGCTGAGTGGTTCTTGCTGGAATCTCCCATGATGTGGCCATCAAGATAGTGGTCAGGGCTTTCTTCACCCAAAGACTTGACTGGGGCTTGAGGACCCACTTCCAAGATGGCACACTCACGTGGATGGCCATTCAGTGCTGGCTCTGGCAGGAACCTCGGGTCCTCCTCACCTTGACCCCTCCACAGGTAGCTTGAGCATCCTCATGACATGGCGGCTGCCTTCCCAAAACACATGATTGGAGAGAGTGGGCAAGACGGTGGCCACAAGGCCTCTCCCAGCCTGGTCCTGGGTGTCGTCATCACTTCCATACACTTGCGGTTAGAGGGGGGGTCTCTAGGTCTGTCCCCACCTCAAAGGGTGGGGCATGAGGCTCTAGACTTTGAGGGGGAAATGTCCAAGGATCTGTAGATGTATTTCCAGCCTATCACAGTCTCTTTCAGCTGAGAGCACAGAACCTCAACTGCAGTAAGGAAGCAGCTATGGGTCTTGCAAACGAACCAGGGGAGGATGGGGCAGAGCTGGTCTCTCAGGGACTGGTCCCAGGGACCTAAAAGTGCTCTCTCTCTCCACCATGACCAACGTCAACAACTGCCTGAAACCCCATTTCACAGCCTCTTGGCCAGAACAGAAGCTCAGGCCCTAGTGGGAGCTCCTGGCCTCTGGCCTCCTGTGTTTGGGAGGGTCAAGGATGGACTCGGATTAGTCCAGCTCCAATCAGGTGCTGGCCCCTGGGCCCAGTCACCGTGGCCAGAGCTGAGGCTCTGTGATTGGCCGGCCTTGGGTCACACATCAAGGCCTGTGTCTGGAGGGTAGGACCCGGTACCCGAGCGGGATGCCGGGAACTGGTGAGCTGGGAGGGAGAGATACCCAAGACCGCCAGGCCGGAGCCGGGCAGCCGTCCCAGCTGTGCGTGCAACTGTGGCTTGGCTGGATTTATGAGCCAAAGGTCGCAGTAGCCCTATTTTTGGAATAGCAGGAAAAAACAGCTGCTTCAAAGTCTCAAAATGGTAACTTTCCACCAGAGTGGCCTGGTCGCTAGATCTCCCTGAAGACTCACTAAAAGTACCGCCTCAAACCTCCGCGAGGCCACCACCTTCTCGCCGCTTGGAAACCAGAACCCAGTCCAGGCACAGCTGATGGGCGGCCGCAGCCTTCACTCCATCTCCCTCCCAGCTGCTGCTCAGAAGGACAGGCCTCGAGAAGCGCCCAGGAAGCTCTGAGCTCCTGCCTGGGGGCCAGGGTCCCCGCAGGAAAGGCAAGGAGCCCCTCCCTCGCTCTGTTCCGAGTGTCCAGTGGGAAGTTCTGGAGCTCACTGTGGGGTCACTGCCAAAAACAACTCCCAGAGACGCACCAGGCCATCCTCGGGGACCAGACGTCCCCTGGGGGAGAGGAGCCCCTGGTGGCCAGCTCACTCGCCCCGCGAGCACAGGCCCAGCTGCCCGAGGTTGGACGTGACCTGTGCCTCTGCTTCAGAAATGCCTGTGGCTCCGACTCCGCTCCGGTCGGGATGTTTACTATTTAACTAATATTGGTGTCTTAAACTGCCATTTGGCCACTTCAGCTCCAGGAACATACCCGAGAGAATTTTGCGGGGCGGTTTGGGAAAGAATGCCTGCTTGCTGTCCGTCTGCTGCAAACGGCAGCTCGTCTCTAAAACAGCGACTGGCCCACAGAAGGTGCTCGGCACCAGTGACCACCCGGCCGTTGGAAGAGGGACAAGCCCTCAGGTCACTCACAGGGGGAGGGGGCCACGGAACAGTTGCCGTCGGAGGTGAGGCTGGGAGACATGGCGCCAGATTCCAGCAGCTCCCCTGCCCGGATGGTTCAACTGAGGAGCAAGGGCCACAGGGAGCCCTGAGCCCTAGGCTGAGCCCTGGTCCCAGGTCTGAGCCCTGATCCCAGGTTGAAAGCAGCCTTGGGGGCTGGGGCTGGGGCTCAGTGGCAGACCACTTGCCTGGCACATGTGAGGCACTGGGTTCAGTCCTCAGCCCCCCATAAAAATAAATAAAAGTACTGAAAGCAGCCTTGGTTCTACCCCGGAGTCTGGATGCACCATTTACCTCACAGTCTGGGCTCTTCCACGAAAGGACAAACCCTTGGGTGAACTGAGGCCAGCCCCTTGAACCGCCTCCCCCTGATCCTTCCTAAACAGTTGCTGGGAAGGCCAGGAGCTCCTGCTGACCCAGTGGCTCTCCTGGTCACCAGACGCCCCACCTCCCCAGCCAGGGAGCAAGTCCAGGCCCTGTCTTTAAATGTTTCCACCTTGAAATATGAGCCATCCACTGGGTGTGGTGGCACACACCTGTAACCTCAGTGGCTCTGGAGGCTGAGACAGGAGGATCCGAGTTCAA